AACGGTTTCCTTGGACAATGGAACTCAAAACTAGCAGATTTTTCTCTCTTTTATTTTTGTAGGAACCAAGGCCTCATGCATGCTAGAGAGGCACTGAACCACTGAGCTACATCTTCAGCCCTCACACTAGTGATAAAGTGGCATTTCTTGTTCTTGGTCTTTGCACCATTGTTTCACAGTCATTCTTTCATGACACTTCCTAGCACGAAGTAAGGTGTAAGATACAGTTACTATCATGTTGTTTACATTTGAAGCAACATTATTTACAGTATTCTACACATGAGATGTCTTATTGCAGACCTTAGTTCAAGTTTTATTTCATGTATTTTGTTTCAGGTATGATCAATCATTTTCCTAGAATAATTTGAACATGTCCATCAAAATCACAGACAGTGCTCTATGGTGTCCTATTGTGACTGAAGCAAATGTCCACAAACTTAGTCAATTAAAGCACCACAAATTTATCATGTGCTGCAGATCAGAAATCAAAAGTAGTTTTCACTTGAGAGTGGGGAAATGAAACATGAGAAGACTGCATTGTTTTTAGAACCTAGGCAAATGTGATTCTTTTGTCTAGCTCCTGAAGCTACCTCATCCCGTGTCTTTAGTAAAGAGTCTGTCATGGTGGATTCATAACCACCACCACTACCTTCACCATAGTGAAAGTGCTTTTTCTAACTGGTTCTTTGAGATGGAGTTAGATGGGAAGGAATTCCATTAGAGGCAATAGTGATCCTAATATAACAGTGATATTCAGCCATCTTTTGTTAGATTACACTATAATCATTGCAGGCTTTTAGAATCATGAAGTTTGTAGAGTCTGATAATTTTATGGGTCACCCACTTTACCCTCTTATTCAATGAGTATCATCTACAGCACTAATTCTGAACTTGAATGTGACACATGAAATGACATAGAGACCTTGTTAAAGTTACAGACTGGCATTCTTTTTTTTTTTCTTTTTTTGATTAAATTTTTATTTTTTATATTAATTACAGTTTATTCCCTTTGTATCCCAGCTGTAGCCCCCACCCTCATTCCCTTCCAATTCCACCCTCCCTCCCTCATCTCCTCCCATTCCCCTCTCCAAGCCCACTGATAGGGGAGGTCCTCCTCCCATTCCATCTGACCCTAGCCTATCAGGTCCCATCCTGATCATTGTCTTCCTCTGTGGCCTGCTAAGACTGCTTCTCCCTCAGGGGGAGGTGAACAAAGAGCCAGCCACTGAGTTCATGTCAGAGACAGTTCCTGTTCCCCTTACTAGGGAAACAATCTGGAGACTGAGCTGCTATGGGCTACATCTTAGCAGGGGTGAATTCTTTGGGGCTAGGAAGCAGCCTGAGTTCTTGCATTTCCAAGCACCAATAAGGGTACATCTCACCCAGAAACCTTTGAATAGAAAGTTTCTAGAGTGTTTCTGACAGATTTTGATGCCTCAGGAAAGATTCTATTATAGTCTTTTCATGCCTTGGTAATTTCAACTTTCATTTACACAAATATGTGGATTTTGGAGCAAAGACAAACTAAGAATTATTCAGAAGTCTGATTTTTAAAGCCATTTAAAAAGGGGTTTTATTTTATTTATGTCTGTGTATATGTGTCTGTGTGAGTGGATGCAGGTACCCCTGAGACCAGAAAAGGGTCTCAGATCTCTTGGAGCTGGAGTTATAAAGGGTTGTAAGTTGCCTTATTTGGTACTGAGGACAGAACTTGGATCATCTAGAAGAGCAACAATCATTTTTAAACACTAAACCATCTCTTCTGTGTCCTAACCAAAAAAAAAAAAAAAAAAAAAAAAAAGAAGAAGAAAAAAGTGAACTAAAATGGCATTTTAAAAAAGGAACTTTAAAAACTTGGATACATATTTGAGAATCCTTATATTACATATATAAAAATATAGCTAAAGAATACACATATATAGATTTAAATGTGTATATTTATGTGTTCATGGACATGAATGTGTGTGCATATTTTTCTATGTATAAATTGATACTAGGTAGGTCCTACATTTATGTTAAGTAATAGAACTCTGGAGGCCTCCTCTCAATTTTTATGACACCTATACAACTTCAATAATTTGCTTTATATTAATTTGCATAAAAAGTAAAAATTGAAGCTACAGACTTAGATTTCTGCAGCTGCAAGAATGAATCCAGGTGTGATATTAGCAGCCATTTTGCATCACGGAGCTGATGGACAGTTTCTAATAGTGTTTAACTGAATTCAGTTCCAGCAGCCTCTGTCACCAGCTTTGATATTAAAGCCAGAGTTTCTGGTTTTAATATTTAAATCCAGCTCCTACACATACTTACCAACTTCATTCTTATTTAATGTTGGAAAGTTATTACTTTGGAGCAAGTCAACCAAGCCATGGTGATTATAGCATATCCAACTCCACTGTAAGAGATTATTTTAATGACGCTGTACCAACAGAGATACATAGACATTCAGACAAAAAAAAAAACAGCCTAATTATAATGACAGAACGAAAGCCAAGCTGTGACAGTTACAAAACCAATTTCAAAGTTTTTTGACAGCCATGGCTGAAAGCTTTGTTCGGACCTTCCTGTAATAACAGTTTACTTAAGACCTAAATCCACAGTGAAGGAAAACAGAAAGAAAAAGTTGTGGCTTTTCTGTCATGCTAATGAAATGGAAGTTGGTTGACATGTTTTTAATAGAACACTATGTTGAAAAGAGTATAGAAAGGAAGTGATGGGTGTGGAATTTACTCTCACAATGCAAAGAAGAAATAACAATGCAAATGCTAACAAGAATAGAAATTTGACAACTGATTTATTTATCTGTGTTATGAAGGTCAGTAGTTCCCACAACTAAATTGCCAGCCATACAAACAGGTTGATTGACAGTACTGGAATTTGATTTTTGTACTACCAAGAAAACATAAAAATGTGTCAATCCCCAGGATGACATGAAGCTCATGGGAAATCTGCTTTTCCCTTGGCTCAGACATCTTAGAGTTATTAGGTTTTTATCACTTTGGTTTATCTCTCTTGGCTCTGGGCTCAGTCAGATGTTCAATATAATTAATTCTTTGACCTTGTGTGAATAATTTCTCATTTCTGACAGACACATATTCTGATCACCAAATGGCATTTGTTTGAACCGGAGATCTTTGCAATAACACCTAGTTTATAAACACATCATAGATGTTGACTCATTAAAATGTGATAATATCCCTTTGGAGCAGACATTATGTCCACTTCACTGAGGAGAAAACTGAGGTGCAGAGAGACTGAAGTGTCTTGTTCAGGGGTACAGCACCAGAAAGTGGTGAAATCTCAACAGTAGATAACGTAGCTCTGCCCCATTCTTAGGGAAGACTGGATAAGATGATGCCTTGCACTCCAGTTCGGGCACACTTTATCCCAGCCTCAGCTGGAGCTTTATGTAGTTCTTTCAGCTGTGGTAGGAAAGAGCTTGCCAGCGGCATCACTGGGCAGTGGCATGGACAGTGTGCATAAGCATGGAGAAGAAGCCACAGAAGAGAATTCACGACTGCCTTTCTATGCCCTCATTCAAACTTTTTCCTTTTAGCCTCTTCTGTTTTGTTTTTGGGTGTTGGAAAGAGCCTAAGAAAGCTTTCTTCTGGTATTCTGGGCTTTCTCTGAAGCCTTACATCCCACCTGCCTCCACTTAGTGCTTATCTGCCATGCAACTGATCTCCATGTCTAAATCAAATGGCATGGTTCTGTCTTCATGCCTCATCCAAATCCTCTATCTCCCTCTCATTCACTCTCCTCTGCCTGATTCTCTAATAAATTTCCATCTGAAACACAAAAGCCAGCAAAGAAAGAGAGCATGTGGCATGACCCTGAGCAGTGGGCGCTCATGTACAGAGCCCTCACCTTTTATCTCTTCTGCATAGGTGATCTCTTCCTCACAATGCAGTAAACTTAGAGAACAGACTTCAAATGGACTTAGTGGCAGAGCTTCGTTCTGATGCCTTCTGGTTGTGTGGTCTTGAACAAATAACCTAAGCTCTCTGAACCTCCTATAACAGATATCTAAACATATCTTACTGTTTAGAGTTGTGGTAGTAACAGACACAACATGAATAAGATATGTATAAATGACTCGCCACATAATAAGCATTCAACACATGGCAGCTATCAAAATACTTGTCTTCACTGCTTGGTTAGCTCCACTCCAGAACAGGCAATGGACTTGGACCAGATTCCATTCCTAATCCTAAGTACAGCCTCAATACTTGTATGACAGTTGGAGAAATTGTTTAACTTCTTAGAGTCTGTTTTCTAAGTCATTAAATTAGAATAACATCATAGGACTAGCATGGATTTTAATTGAGTTAATTTATGTAAAATTCTAGAACTTCCCAGACACATAATAAACTCAATAGACAGTTCTTATTCGTTACAAGATTATTTTCAGCAGGTATTTATGGAAACAAGAAGGGAAAATAAATTTTATCTTTCTTCCTCTTTCCAGCTTTATAACCATCTTCAAAATGTTTCACCCCCCCCCTGTCCCTAGCTTGATAGCAAGTGGTCATGCCCGTTTTTCAAGATAACCATTTTGAAAAGTATTTTTTCATATAGTCAGAATGTGGGGTCAAAACAATCTAATGTCCAAGATGAAAGTATATACAAGCTAAATTAAAATGTATTTTCCATTTTAATATGAAGGTTTCTGAAACTATCTTTCTTTATGTCTTTAAAAGGGCAGGGAGGAGATGAGGGAGGGAGAGAGAGTTTGGGAGGGAATGAGGGAGCGGGATACAGCTGGGATACAGAGTTAATAAAATATAATTAATAATAAAAAATTAAAAAATTACTGAAAGAAATGGATTCCTTTGGTCCCACTTATCAGTAGGAAAGACGGTGATCAGCAGTCTTGAAGACACCGTTTTTCACTGCCATCTATCAGAACTGTTGCCCCTCAAAACGTAGCAGCATGCACGTTGCAGTTAATGCCTACTAACTTCATGGAAAGCTTACCTATCTGTTTGACTCCTCAGAGAATGATGCGCTCGTCAATTTTCCACATGTTTATCCTGAGCATGGTGACTGTGGATGTGATAGTCGCTGCCAGCAACTACTACAAGGGAGAGAACTTCAGACGGCAGTATGATGAATTCTACCTTGCAGAGGTGAGTTACTCACTCCCAGGAGGGGATTGGCAGGGGTGTTTATGGTTGGCCTCATTAAGGGCCTTTTACGAGCATGAAAATGAACTCTAGGGCCTTAATTACCTGACTGCCACCTGAGTTGACTTACTGTCTGCCTCTTAGGTGATTCCCCTGTTTACTGTGTTGTTTGATTCCTGTCCTGTCACCACGAGCCTCAGGGGCCTTCCCCACAGTGGTCATGTTGCCAAAAGAATCTTTTTTTCCTGGGTCTTTTTCCTTTCCACCTCTCATATTCTCCCCTTTCTCATGTTGTGGTAGCTTGCTTCATCCTGCTGTAACTGACCACAGGTTGAGAAGCTTAGAAACAGACTAGTCCGCTGGTCACCTGGGCTACTACAGACACCAGGCGACACTGGTGAACTAATGGCCCTAAGTTGATCATTGCACATCCATACAACGCAGCACAGCATCCGACAACCAGAAGTCGTTAGGGGTGAGCAGCAGTGCTTTCCCAGTGAGCATTCTCCCCAGGCCTGAGTCTTAAATATTCGCAACCATTTGCAAAGAAATCTCATGGTTCTATGGCCTTATGTTTGTGGAAAAAATGAGTTTATGTATAGAAATCCATTCATCCCATAAAAGAGATACACACATATAGGGATACTATACTCTAAAAATCCCATATGTGAATAAAACAAACTTAAAGCCAGAAAAACTAGTCTTCAATTGTGTTTATTACAAAGCATTTTTATACAGAAAGCACTTAGCTCTGTAATTTAGCTCATTAAGGCATCCAGAATTCTCCTAACACATTAAAAATGGACTGGGTTAATAAAATTCAGTCCACACACACAAAAGCTTCTCTGAAAAAAGAATCAATTAAACAACTATGTGGATGTCAAGAAACCTCTACAGAGTCATTTATAAATACCTCTCTCTTTGCGGAGCTCTGTAAAACATAATCCCTTTAATTTTAAGTTTCCCCCGCCTAGGAACAGCTGTGATAGGGCATTGATCTAATAGCTTCAGGTTATGTGGTGCTTACAGGGAAAGACAGACAGTAGACAATAACACTGGAGAATGAATGGAGAGCCTCATGAGGAAACTATAGCCAAACCTCTCCAAAAAGATAAGACTTTTGCTGCAAACCCAGCAAGACTTGTCATTAAAAGAAATGAGCTGACAAATCAGTTGCTGAAGGTACAGATGACCTGAATTAAATCCTTAATCCACATGTTGAAAAAGAAAGAATCAATGGTGGCTCTTTGACCTCCCCAACCACATAGGAGGACTTTGCAGCCAGTCCTGAAGATACCTGATAAAACAGGGCCAGACAAAAGGGGAGGAGGTCCTCCCCTATCAGTGGACTTGGAAACGGGCAGGAAGGAGATGAGGGAGGGAGGGAATGAGGAAGGGGGCTACAGCTGGGATACAAAGTGAATAAAATGTAACTACTAATAAAAATAAATAAATAAAATAAAAAAGAAAAGAAAAAAACAATCAATACAAGTTATACTCTGACATCCACACACGTCATTGCACAAATTTGCACATATAGATAGACACCCAGACATATAGACACACAATCAAAATGAGTAAATAAATGTAATTTTTTAAAAATATGAGCAAAGCATAGACTTTAAGACATAAACAAAAACAGATATTTCGTGATGAGTTTTAGCACAGAGGACGCACATGGGAGGGCTCCTCACGGAGTTAAGCTTCTCTTAGGCAGTGAGAAGAGGGTAGACAGCCAGGCAAACGACACAAGGAAATAAGACGCTTAAGTAAAACCGGCAGACTTCACCAAATATAATAATAATAACAATAACAATTAAAGACACTTCAAATGCAGTGTTGAAGAGCTATCCATATTTTCGGAGTATGGACTTAACATTGACATTGACATGAGACATAACAACTGTTCTGGGTTCTACATAAAAGAAAGACAAGGTTCAAACTGACCCAGTTTTAGGGCTTTATTTGGAGTGGATGAGCTCAGGGACAAGGGGATGGAGAAACAGAGGTGACTGACAGAGGGGATGAGGTGAAAGCCAGATGGCCTGGGTTGGCCATGGAAATATATGAAAATAGAGAAGAGTTAAAAGAAAGTGAACTCTCAAGATATTTATATGTTCAAAACACATGTTTGATTGAAGCGCAAGAATAAGAAAGTTGTGGTCAGAGAAAGGAATTAAAATTTTCCATTTGCACCTTGACTTTGGTAACGAAATACAAAACATGGGGTGCTGTGTAGCTTAAACCTAAGAATGGAGTTGTGACAAGAGATCAAGGCAGCACCACAGCCTGAGAGCGGCTGAGTCTCGGGCGGATAAGAAGACTGCCAGTCCTTAGACAGGGCAGTGCATGAGTGGTTGATGGGGAGTGAGCAGAGGGTGGGGAGATGGAATCAGAGTTTGGTTTGTCCTGATGGAATCCTCTCACCAGCTCCCAGTAGCAATGGTCAGGATACCTTTTCCTTGTCCACTTAAACTCCGCAGAACACACAACATGGATTCCCTCTTCCCTAAGGGGCTGTGGGAGTGAAGTATGCAGTATGAGAGGGAGAGACACACGGAGGCAGTCCGGTGAAGGAAGTTGAATCTGCACATGGAACTTGATAAAGTGCAGGACGTTGTTTAAAACACTAGTAGACACTCAACATTTAGCGGGCCCTGTGTCATGAAGATGAAAAGAGAGGCTACAAACCGCACAGCACAATTACATCAGTGGTTTAAGTACTATGAAACAACATTTCTGAGGAACAAACTCAGAAGTGAGCATGGTGACGGGACCCTGTCATCCTCGTGAGGAGGCACAGTTGCTCCTGCAGGAGTGCTGGTATCAGAGACAGCGGGGCATCACTTCCGTATCCTCACAAGGGGCACTTGTCTGTTACACCTTCTCCTGTGGAGTAAAGGAAGTGGCATATGCCCTGCAAACACAGGGAATTGAACTGAACTTCAGAAAACTTTCCCTAATTTCTTTTCATACAAAGTCTACCTCCTTTCTAGTCTGTTCTTAGGAATGTTAGATAGTCTTTCATTACACTATAAGAAATTGCAACAAAATTTCAAAGAATTTTTGTTGTGGAGTTTCTTAATTGCTGCCTAAATGCTCGTAGAGCCTGGGAACAGGTGATTAATCCTTGTCAGGTTTGTTTGTTTGTTTTGTAATACTAAAAATAACAACCACAGAGTTAAGATGGTGTAACAAAACCTGGTGAAACCTGAAATGTTATATGCTTCCTGCTTGTTCCCTTTCCAAACTACTAACACAGACTTAATTTTAAAAAGATAAGCCTGTGTTTGACACCTCCCCCCAGGGGAGGAGCAGTCTGTTAGGCCACAGAGGAGGACTTTGCAGCCAGCCCTGAAGATACCTGATAAAACAGGGACAGATGAAATGGGAGGAGGTCCTCCCCTATCAGGGGACTTGGAAAGGGGCAGGGAGGAGACCAGGGAGGGAGTGTGGGGTTGGGGAGGGAATGAGGGAGCGGGATACAGCTGGGACACGGAGTTAAGAAAATGTAACTAAAAAGAAAAAAAAAAAAAAAAAAAAAAAAAAAAAAAAATTTAAAAAAAAAAAAAAAAAAAAAAATAAAAAAAAAAAAAAAAAAAAAAAAGATAAGCCTGGTGTTGAGGTAAATCTTCTTTATATAAGTGCTCATTGCCAACCACATGACATTAAAGATGTAAAATCTTAAGAACATAAATAGGGTATAAAATATTATTACAGCATCTAACACTAACAACAAGAACAATAAAGATAGTAAGAGGACAATTTGAGAGGATATGAACTTGGCTGTGGCATATACTTATACCCTAACTCAGCAAGTTAATACATTATATAAATATACATTACTACCTGTTAGTTGTTTCTCAGTAAAGAGATAGATAAGTAGCTAAATAGCCACAGTAACCATCTCCTTGAAATCCTGGAAAGAAAAGGAATAAATAAGATACACATAGGCTTTCATTCACTTAAAATAACCTATAGACAACATCAGGTTATTATTGAATTACTTAAGAACCAAAATCACCTCCAGTAGATAGACTGTCAGTGTTTGAGTTTCTCAGAATATTTGGACTTACTTCAAATTATACTTTTTCAATAAAAAGTCTTTCTAAATAAAAAAAATTGTTGTATTAAGTCATAATGATTTATTTTGAGCATAGCTAAATTATTATAGCTAAATGTAATTCTTAACAAATTCTTTCAGTTTAAGCAAAGAATCACCAAACTTTCTTGAAGAGCCAAATAAGCATGTTAGACTCTGTAGGCTCTCCATTCTCTGTCAGCCCCTCAACTCAGCCACCTTTATGCAAAAGTGAATGTGAAGTTTAATAAAAGTTCATTTACAAAAGTAAGCAATACACTGGATGTTGTGTGAGCTTATAGGGACAGAGAGCCCTCCAACTAGAATGCTCATATGGTAAATTTAAATACAGTAATACTAACAACAACAACTACCAGTTTTTGGAAAGCCGTGTGTGCTGAGTACTTTAAAGAAATTTATTATTTCATTGAATTTCCCAAACAGCATAATGCCAGCAGTTGAAGACTGGGAGTGTAACGGTGCTGTACTTAAGGAAACAGCATTATGTAATAGTTCTGAACGCTTAAATTTCACACTGAGTCACAGTAGGCCATGAGGTTTGAAAGAAGCAAGTTTTTGTTAGGTTTCTTCATTTTATACAATAAATTGTTTAGAAAAATCCAAGATAAACAACTCTATCATTAGGAGTCAATTCATAGTCTAAATCAGTGTCCTTTAAGAGAGAAGGACCTGGGTAAGATGATCAATCCTCACTCAAAAGGCAAAAGGGTTGGATGTAGGAAGGGGGAGAAAACAGGCAACAGGACAGGAGCCTGCCACAGAGGGTCTCTGAAAGACAACCCAGCAAGGTATCAAAGCAGATGCTGAGACTCATAGCCAAACTTTGGGCAGAGTGCAGGGAATCTTATGAAGGAAGAGGGGAGATAGAAAGACCTGGAGAGAACAGGAGCTCCACAAGGAG